AAAAAAAAAAAAAAAAAAAAAAAAAAAAAAAAAAAAAAAGACAAGCCTAAGCTAATGACAAAGATTTCAAAATTAATAATGTCTCCATGTTGTTATTTACAGGCTGGGGGACCCTATGAGTGCCTACTGTGTCCTCGGCATCACTGTCTCCAGAGGCTGTTTTACTCAAGATCCCTGTCCTGGAGACACATGGGAAACTTTTGTGATTATTTTCCCAGCAGGTTGAAAAGCTGTTATCTCAGATCTCTTTAACACCTTAAAAAATTACTTGTTTTTGTTCGTTTGTTTGATATAAGGCTTCACTTTGTCAGACAGGCCTACAACTGACCACCAACAACAGCAGGTCACATCTACTTGTTATAGTTAATTTTCCAGAACTTTGGAAAATGTCCTCATATGTAAAAGGCAAATGGAATTCATACTGGATAGCTAAGCAGATTAATTCCAAAAAAATTGACTGCACCTTCACTTTTGCCCAGTAATTAAAAAAATCTATTTGACTAATACCTCACTGGGTGAAAACAAACTCCAAACTGAAATGACATTTTTTTTTTCTTTTCAATTTTTTTTGGGGGGGTTTTTTGAGACAGGGTTTCTCTGTGTAGCTTTGGAGACTATCCTGGCACTCGCTCTGGAGACCAGGCTGGCCTCAAACTCACAGAAATCCACCTGCCTCTGCCTCCCGAGTGCTGGGATTAAAGGCATGCGCCACCAACGACCAGCCAAATTGTATTTTTTAACTTTTATTTATTTTTATTTCATGTGCATTGGTGTTTTTGACTGCATATATGTCTGTATGGAGGGTGTTGGATCCCCTGGAACTGCAGTTACAGACAGTTGTAAGCTGTCATGTGGATGCTAGGAATTGAACCTGGGTCTTCTGTAAGAACAGCCAGTGCTCTTAACCACTGAGCCATCTCCCTGGCCCCAAATTGTATTTATTTTTAAGTGTGTGCTGTTTTTTTGTTTTGTTTTGTTTTGTTTTTTGCATGCATGTCTCTCTTTTTTTCCTTCTTTTTTAATAGCTTATGTTATTCTTTCACATGGATTCTGGTACAAAATAGAAAATATTTGTAAATATTATACTTGCTTGTTACTAAAATTATGGTTAGTAAATATATCTTGTCTTTGTTTTTTTTTTTCCAACTTTTTTATTTGAATTAGGAACAGGATTGTTTTACATGACAATCCCATTTCCCTTCTCCCACCCGTCCTCCCCTACCCACCCCCCCATGTATGTTTTTATAACACGTGACTGAGGAAATCAGGAGGTGTTGGATCCCTTGGGCCTGGGATTACAGAAGATTGTGAGCAACCTTGTGGGCACTGGGAAATGAACCCCAGTCCCCGAGAGCAGTCAGTGTTCCTAATCATTGAGCAATCTATCCAATGTGAGCCGGCATTTCTTTTCTTTTACATTTAGTGTGTGTGTGTGTGTGAGTGCACACGTTCAAGCATACACGTGGAGATCAAAAGGCATGTGAGAGTTGGTTCTTTCTTTCCACAATGTGGGTCCCAGGGATCAATCTCAGCTCATCAGGTTTGGCAGTCAATGCTCTTACCTGCTAAACCACCTCACTGGCCCATCATTTTCAATTCCTATAACTATGTACTAAAAGAATGCATGTAAATCTTAAAAAATAAAACAAAATCGCAACCAACAGAAGTACACAGACCAGAATTTTCACAAAAGGGAAAACACAAATGGACCATGAAGTTATGAAAACACAGCTGGTTGTGTGGGTAAAAGCACTTACCACACAAGCCTGGCAGCCTGGCTTCAACACCCCAGACATGAAGGTGGTGCCAGGAGAGCTGCCCCACAGCTAGCCTGGAATCTGCAGCAGCAGGCAGCATGGCAGAAACAAAGGGACCCTCCCTCAAAACCAAGGTGGAAGGAGAGAACCAATTCCTGAAAGTTGCCCTTTGACCTCCACACATGCACCACAGTACACATGGCCCTACACTCATAACACAACACACACACACACACACACACACACACACACACACACACACCAAACATCATTAATCTGAGCAATGAAAAGGAAAACTACAATGAAATACCATGTCACCCTCACTGTGCTGGCAGAAACATTAAGGGCAGATGGTACCAAATGTTGTTGATGATGTGGAAGGAGGAGGAGGCTGGTGGAGATGCAAATTAATACAAATATTTTGTCAACAGTCTGAAATCTCCAATTCAATTTGCCTGACAAGTGGCCCAACATTCTATTCTTCGGTGCACACCCTAGAAAATGTATACACCCTGTGCATGTATAATAGACGTTGTAAGAATGCTCACTGCAGCATTGCTCATTACAGCAATTAAAAAAAAAATCCACCAATAGAGGAATAGATTAGTAACTGTGAGTATTCACAGCATAGCACTAAACAGGATACACTTCAAATGAATGGATCGTGGCTTGAATGTATTTGAGAAATATCTGGTGAAATTTGATGAAGTTTTTAGCACAGGCACTGAAGATGATGGCCACAAGCAGCTTGATCTCTAAGTGTAATACCAGTGGAGGCAGGCCCAAGGCGGATCTCTGAGTTTGAGGCCAACCTGATCTATAGAGAGTCAGCTAGGACCAGAGAAACCCTGTCTTGAAAATCCAAAACAAACAAACAAACAAACAAATAAGGGGACTAGCCATACAAGTGTACTCTGGATGATTAGCAATGCATACATAAGAAAGGGCCGCAGAGACAGCTCAGTGGTTAAGAGAACTTCCACTGGACTATGGTTCAGAACCCAGCATGCAGGTCAGGCACTTAGGCGGCTCACAACTACTTGATACTCCCACCTCAGAGGATCTGATGTCCTCTTTTGGCCTCTCTAGGCACCCCCACTCACAGCAACCATATACATACACGCTCACATCAATTTTAAAAAAGAACAAGTAAAACTGACTTTAAAAACCAATGTGCTGGAGGTACACAAGCCTTTAATCCCAACACTCAGATAGATAGATCTCTGTGAGTTCAAGGCCAGCCTGGTCTACAGAGCCGGTCCAGGACAGCTAGAGCTACACAGAGAAAACCTGTCTGGAAAAATAAAATAAAATAAAAAGATCCTAATTCAAAAGAAAAAAGTAATTAAGTAATAAAAAAATAACAGGAACAATAATAGAACAAAGACTTGAACACTCAGAAGTATCCCCCATAAGATTTGTAACAAAAACTAAAGAATGGCATCAACACTTCTAATGGAATAGTGAACTCTGAAGCCTAACAGTGCTGACAAAGTGGCAGGTTTCACATAGCATCAAATTCGTCTGCAAGAGCTTCAAGGCTTATTGATGTTCAAAGGAAATGGAAAACTCCCTTAGCCACCAGAGGAGCAAGGCCACAGGAATTTTAAAAAAAAAAAAAAAAAGGAAAAGCAAAAAGAAACACCACATGGGTTGGAGGGATGACTCAGCGATTGAGCATGAATGCTCTTGTAGAGGACCCAAGTTCAGGTCCCTGCACCACACCGGATAGCTCCCCACTGCCTGAAACTCCAGCATCAGAGGATCCAAGGTTCTTTTCTGGACTCCTTGAGCAATTGCACTCACTCTCACACACCCACACACAGACACTCACACATATACAAAACATAAAGCAAGACTGACTGCAGGCTCTCCCCTCCCGCATCCAGTCTGAATGGTCTTCATTTGCCACATTCTAAGTTTTATACGTTGTCCTACTGAAAGTGCTGGGAAAGAATCTCCCATTCAGAGGCAGTTTATCTTAAGGCACTGCCCATGATATTAGCATGCTGTACTGCAGAGTACCCCACACACAAAAAACAAAGGTAGTGATAATCTGTGGGAGTGGAGGTGAGGGAAGCAGTGTGGTCAACAAAGAAAGATAAACAAGAAACTTTGAAAGTGACAATGATAATTCTAAAAATTTGTCTTTACATTTATTTGGGTTTTGGGGCGGGGGAGGGGGGGCATGCACCTAACCCACCCTCCCACATATGTGGAGGTCAGAAGACAACCTGTGGGAGCCAACTATCTCCTTCTACCATGTGGGTTCCAGGGAGCAAACTTAGGTCACCAAGTTTAGATCAAGCACCCTGACCTGCTGAGCCATCTCCCTTGCCCTGTTTCTTGATCTGGCAGGTGAGTGTGTTTTTATCTCTGAGTAATATTTTATCTGTTCCTTGGTGTAAATAAAATCCATAAAACTTAGCTGGGCATAGTGGTACACTGGGAAGGCAGAGGCAGGTGGATCTCAGGGAGTTCGAGGCCATTCTGGTCTACATAATGAGTTCTAGGACGGCCAGGGCGATAGAGAGACCCTGTCTCAAACACCTCATAAACATTGAAGAAATAACTACTAAGTAGTTCATGGGTCATCAGGGAGACTGGAGACTAGCATCTGGTCTTGCAGAGAGGCCACACCACAGAAAAGTCTGCAGACTGACAAACACTGAGATGCAGCTGTACCACCCACCTCTCATGCCAGGATCACAAACTTCTGAAATTGTAGTGCCAGTGCCATGCTCCTCTATACTACGTCCTGGATTTTTATGTTTTTACTCCTATTTTATTTCTACTTAAATTTTTTTTTTCTTTGACAGAGTCTCTGGCCCAGACTGGCTTTTAACTCCTTATGTAGCCAAAGGTGACCTGAATATCTGCTCCTTCCACCGCCATCTCCTCGGGGCTGGATTATAAGTGTGAACCACGGCCAGCTGTTCAATCCAACCCAAGGATTCGTGTGCATAGGCAAGGACTACCTCCTGAGCCCTCCAAATCTTTGAAACTTGCTTATCAGCTGTTCTTGTTTTTTTGTAGAACTTGGGTCTATCACACATGTTACAAGTATTTCCTCATTTGTCATTAGGTTTCTCACCTTGTGGTGCTTTTTATAAAAAGCCATTTAAAAAAAAAGTTTGATCAGCTAATTTTTTCTTTATATAGTTTTCCAACTCAGATTCTCTTTTCTCAACCCAAGATTTTAAAATAGCCCTCTTTCTTTCCCACAGAGTTCAGTTTTCCTATGTTTAATTGTCAGTCCTAAACCTCTGATATAATTTTCCTCCAACTATCTTAGAAGAAGCACTTATTGTATTATTGGTTGTCCACAGATTCAAAATGCTACCTTTTTTTGTTTGTTTGTTTGGTTTTTTTTTTTTTGTTTTTTTGAGACAGCGTTTCTCTGTTATTGCTTTGGAGCCTATCCTGGATCTCACTCTGTAGACCAGGCTGGCCTTGAACTCACAGAGATCCGCTTGTCTCTGCCTCCCCAGTGCTAGGATTAAAGGCATGCACCGCCACCACCAGGCTTCAAACTGCTACTTTTAAAAACAAAAACAGTCTCATGCTTGGCTGTTTCTTCGGTCTCTCTCCTAGCCTTGGTGCCATATGTTAGATCAGAACCACCGATAACGTCACACCTGTGTCTGGTACTAAAGCCCTCTTCCCTTCATCCTTTTCAAACATTTCCTGAACTGATCTTCCACACATAATAGGCTAGATTATCATATTTATAGATCAAGTTTTCTTCTAGTTCATAGAAAAATTCATCCTTATCATTCCTGTTAGAGAAGCAGAGCTGTCCGAATGTGGGCCTGAGAGGAATGAGTACCATCTACAAGCATACAATGATTCTTCCTTCCAAACCTGGAAAACGCTCACATCTCATGGTCCTGCCAGCTGCACTGTCACCCGGGATGGATGCCCATAAACTGGGGAAGGCACAGAGGACAGAGAACTAGAGCTCTTTAAAACTGGCTCAAGCAAGTACTTCAGTCTCTAGGACACAGGTCTGGCAACTTCCACACATGCACTGTTTGCATTAATGAGGGAAATGGATTGGAATATAAAATAGACAACACCAACCACATTTCTAAGCACCGGCTGCTAGAATCCCTCCAGCTTCCAGGACCATTCAGCCATCTGCTGCTCAAAAGGCCCTTCTACAGGATCTTGCATTTTGTGGAGACAAGGCACGCTATCTTTTTTCCTTCCTATTCTTTTTTCCCCCTTATACCACTTATACCTGAGATGTTACTGGACTGCTGCTGATCCCTGCGATTTAAAAGTGAATAGACCCAGGATGTAAATCTGTGTTGTATTTTTCAGGGTTGTGTTTTTAGTGCCTTTGCCCTTTGGAATATTCTTTAGCTGCCCCCTGGTGAACTGGACTCTCACTGAATACAACTTTCAAGGGTGAAATAAGATTTAAAACATTCAGACATTTCCCTTATTCCCAAGGAATTCTGCACGGATTTACTTCATTTATGGAGTCAGACATTTCCCTTATTCCCAAGGAATTCTGCACGGATTTACTTCATTTACGGAGTTAAAGTAAATCCAAACAAAGATAATAGATTATTATTATTATTGAGACAAGGTCTCATATCATATAGTCCAGGCTATCCCTAAACTCACAATGTAACCGAGAAGGTCCTCCAGCTCCTGCTTCTGCTTCTGCCTCCAACTTCAGGTGTTACAGACATGCTGCTACAAAACCTGGCTGGCAAGATTATTATTTTGATTTTTTTCCACTTAAACTTAACCATTGTCAACACAACCGGATATAAACACAGCAGAAAAAGTTTAGTAAGTCTGTATCTCCTAATGGTAGAGCTTAGAAACATTAAAAAAAAAAACTTTATGTACACACAGCCCTCATTATGTATATGTATTATGTACACACAGCCATTATTTTGTATAAACTAGTTTTCACAAAAAAACAAATTCAAAACCAGGCCAGGAGAAGAACACTAATAACCCCAACACTTGGGAGGTGGAAGCTGAAGGATCAGGAGTTCAAGGTCAACCTGTGGTACTTGAGACCTGTTTCAAAACAAAACAAACAAATTGACAAATCCACAAAAAAAGAACAAAACAAAACAAAACAAAACAAAACAAAACAAAAAAAACACTCCAAAAACAAATGGGAGAGCAGCTAGTTGTGGTCACTCATGCCTGTAAGTTTGAACAACTGGGAGGCAAAAAACAGGAAGCTAGCCTTGACTCTGTGGCCATCCTGGGCTACACAAGAAGTTCCAGGCCAGCTTGTGTGAGTTGCAGTGTGAGATCCTGTCTCAATTAATTAAATTAATTAATAAAACATAGCTCTAGGAAGCAGCCCCTGGTGTCACATGGCCATCAAAGGGTCAATGCCTTTCTTTATAAAATGGAGACTTCGGGCAGAAGAGATGGCTCAGTGGTCAAGAGCACCGGCAGCTCTTGCAGAGGACCTGGATTTGATTCCCAGCACCCACATAGTGGTTTGTAACAGTTTGTAATGCCAGTTCCAGGGATCATGACCTACATGGGCTGCAGGCCTCTGCTGACCTACATGGGTTGCAAGCATACACAAGACTCAGACATACATACAGGCAAAACACTCATGTACATTAGTAAAATAAATCTAAAAATATTAAAATAAAATGGAGACTTGTTTACCATACAGGTTCACTTTACAGATTAGATTGTAATCTATAATCCTATTGATTGAGAGTTCCTAGAGGCAGATATATTGGGCACTCACAAACTAATTTCTTATTTTTTTTCTGATACTGCACTAAATTAGGAATAAACACACAAAACAACAACAAAAACCCACTTGGACCTGAGAATTCTTAGCACACACAGTATGCACTTTATTTCGTTGTGATTCACTCGTGTTACAGGTCTGTCATATAAAGGTATAGAGAAGTCGGAAGATGCATCTTCTATTTACAGTAGGGCTTCCGCGGGGCTTATTTTCTAATCTGTGAACGAACGGGGTTGACGTGGATACCTGAATTATTTTTCCAACTCGATAATCCTTGCTATCACCCTACGATCATAGAAGCAAAACAAACACACATTCCAACCGCCATGGTAATACGAATTTTCAAGCACAAAACTCTGTCTGTGGTGTGGTGTTGCGAAAACGAATCTATTTTGAGACTCCAGAAGGACTTAATTAGCAAAGAAATGCCACTAAAAAGAGCTGCTACATTTAACTGCTTGGTGACTTCGGTATTGAGTCGCGCCGTGGCAATAGATACACAGTATTATAACAAGGCACTGCGTCCTGGGGATCTCTCCAGTCCTGCGCCCCGGGGGCTGGAGAAGTCACGCACCCAGCCGCCCCTCCCGCGCCGCCCCGGCGTGCCCGCCCCTTCCCCTTACCACGTAGCCCCCCCACACGTAGAGGAAGTGTCCGTCCACCACGGCGCAGTGGCCGCTGCGCTCCTCGGCCACGCAGAACGCCTGCGAGTCCGCCATCCGCCCTCCGCGGCCCAGCCAGCTCGTCGCCGGCTCGCACGCACGAACGGAACGCGAGGAGGGTCCAGAGTGGCAGAGGCGGAACCGAGAAACCTGCGCGTCTGCGCGGCCGCCGCCCGGTTTGGGGGGCCCGGCTGCTCCTCCGAATATGTGCGCTCCTTAGATACACTCTGTTCCTCTCTGCAGCCTCTGCTTAAGTCTTGAGTCATCTGGAAACGCTTCCTTCTCTTCCTTCTCGTGACTTTTTTTTTTTTTTTAATTATGTGTAGATCTGTGCATCATGTATATCTTGGAACTGGAGTTAGGGAATGAACCTCCATGCGGGTGCTGGGAATACTTGGGTCCTCTCAAACCATCTCCGTGATGTTCATTTGTGAAGTGAGCGTTCTTTTCCTGCACCTGGGCCAGCTCATTGACATACGTATCCTCCGTTTTTTTTTTTTTTTTTTTTGCGTGTGTGGTTCAGGCAGTGCTCCGCCAATCCTCCTGCCTCAGCCTTCAGAGTGTGCGCACCACCATGCCTGGCTTTTATTTGGGGGGGTGGGGTGGGGTGTCGGAAATCATATCTAGGGTTTTTGCTTTTATAGTGACTGGGTACTTGCTTCGACGATGCTGCACACTGGTGCCTGAGGCACTGAGTGATAATTTCTGTTGTTTCTTCCTGGTAATGTGTGGTTGAGTGTGTGAATACAGGCACAGTTCCCTTTAAACCAGAAGGAAGCATTATTGTCTGCACAGCTCTGTATCTCGCTTTTCCCACTTGTATAAACTTTTCCTGGGGAGAGGAACGAAAGAAACAATTCCATTCAAGTCTTGACTGATGAACCAATGAGTTTAATTACAGTTTGGAGAGCATGGGCTATACCACTGAGTAAAACGTCTCTGCCTAGCAACTGTTAACTGCCTACAAAAGCTGGGGGATGGGAGCTTGAGAACGCTTCCTTCCCCTGCAACTGTTAACTGTCTATAAATCCACTGATGGCCCGGAACCCCTCCCCCACCCCATAATGACAGTGCTGATAGCTTTCTACAACATTCCACCTCTTACCGTCTTTCAGCCTCCCTCTTCCAGGGTGTTCCCTGAGACTTGGATAGGTTGTATAGAATGGGCTGGGCATTCAAAAGCACTTGAGCCAATTGAGTCTCTGCAGTAACTTGCCTGAAACAGAAATTTCACTGACCAAAGATGACAGCTGCACCAATGGATGAGCATAAACACAAACGTTTAGAAGGCAATTAGATACATATCACTTAGCAAAGGAGCAGCATCAGCTTTCCATTGAAGTCTATGGTCTCCCCAGCCATGGGTGTTTAACCAAGTTTACAGAACCAAACCAGTCACTTATTGTCAGATCTACAAATCCAATCAGAAAATAATTGGTTGTACCCATAATAGTTTCACCAGTGGGTACATAAGGACTCACATGTTGATACTGTAGACTTCAGGATTCCCTAGTCAAGTGGGACCGAGGTTACAATTTTCCCATAAGCAGCCCACAGAGTGCCTTCCAGAATTATGCAATCTAGCCAGGGGGGAGGAAGGGCCAGTTCAATCCCACATTGATTTCTCCATGTCCTTCCACCAAGGCATGTGATATGTGGTGTCTTTGACAGTAGAAAATTGCCATCTGTATTAGGGCTGTCTAGAGTGACAGAAATTATAGAATGAATCTATATATATAGAAAGGGGATTTATTAAAATGACTTAAGACTAATCCAACAATGGCTAACTGTGAACGAAAGTCCAAGAATCCAATAGATACTCAGTCCACAAGGCTGGATGTCTCAGCTGGTCTTTATTATATGATGGAATTCTAAAGAAGTGGGCGCTGATGCTAGTGAAGGAATGGATTTGCTAGCAAAAAAAAGACAAAAAAGCAAAAGCTTCCTTTTTCCATGTCTGTATACACAGGCTTCCAGTAGAGGTGTGGCTCACATTAAAAGTGTGTCTTCTCACCTTAAGATCCAGAATTAAAGGTTCTCCAGACTCAAAATCCATATTAGAAGTGGATCTACCAAGCCTGGTGGTGGTGGCAAACACCTTTAATCCCAGCACTGTGGAGGCAGAGGCAGGTGGATCTGAGTACAAGGCCAGCCTGGTCTACAGAGTGAGTTCAGGACATCCAGGGCTACACAAAGAAACCCTGTCTCAAAAAAAGAATAGAAAAAATGGGGGCTGGAGAGATGGCTCAGAGGTTAAGAGGGCCAAGTGCTCTTCCAGAGGTACTGAGTTCAATTCCCAGCAACCACATGGTGGCTCTCAACCATCTGTTATGAGATCTGGTGCCCTCTTGGTGTGCAGATATACATGGAAGCAGAATGTTGTATACATAATAAAATCTTTTAAATAAAAAAGAAAGAAAAGAAAAAAAGTGGATCTACCAACTTCTAATTAGGCAAAAATTCCTCAGGTGTGTCCTCCATTTTCAGATTTTAGTTAATTCCAGGTGTAGTCCAGTAGACAACCAAGAGTAGCCATCACAATCCACTCCTTGTCAACCTAACACACAATCATATTACATAATTAATTTCCAAATAAAAACAATAACCAGGTCATAATACCTAAACATAATATAATTATCCCACATACAATTACAATCACATTTTCTATTTAACTAGGCCATGATTATGCCTAACATATATAGCTATCCGTTGGACAACCAAAAATGCATTAGAAATTTAGAATAGGTGGCAATGTTGCTTGAGAAACATTCTTTTTTTTGAGACACTCATATTTATATATCCACCCCCCATTCCCTCACCCATGTTCCCCCCCAAACCCCCCAACCCACCCCCCAACTCCTCTCTAGGGATAGTGAGGCCCTCCACGAGGGATCTTCACAGTCCTTCATATCATTTGGGGGAGGGCCTTGGTCCTCCTTGCTGTATCTGGGCTGCAATAGTATCCCTCCATAGGGAATAGGCCCCCAAAGTCCATTTGTGCTCTAGGGTCAAAGACTAGCTCCACTGTTAGAGGTCCCATAGACTGTCTTGGCCTCCTAGCTGGCACCCACATTCAGAGGGCTTGGTTCGGTCCAATGCTGTTTCCGAAGCTTTATGACTAGGGTCTCCATGCTCTCACTAGGTCAAGTGAACTGTTTCTGTGGGTTTCTGCAGCACCATCTTGGCTCCTTTGCTCATCCCTCCTCCCTCTCCACAACTGGATTCCAGGAGTATGGTTCAATGCTTAGCTGTGGGTACCTGTTTCTGCTTCAAACAGCTACTGGATGAAGGCTCTAGAAATGGTAACCAAGGTAGACACCAATATCATTATAGGGGAAGGGCATCAATGGCATCCTCTCCACCACTGCTTATTCTTAGTTGGGGTCATCCCTGTGGATCCCCTAACATTTTCCCTGTGCCAGGCCTGTCTCCAAACCTGTACTGTCTCCCTCTATCAAGGCATCTCCTTTCTTGCCCTCCTCTTTTCCTCCCCTGGAGAGACATTCTTTTAGTATCTTAAACTTAAATATGGTAACCATTGATATCCTCTTAATTGATGTTACATCACATGATAAAGAAATTGTAAGAAAACACAAACATCTGTACAAATATATTCTTATCAAAAAACAACAGAAGCTGGGCGTTGGTGGCACACGCCTTTAATCCCAGCACTCGGGAGGCAGAGGCAGGCGGATCTCTGTGAGTTCGAGGCCAGCCTGGTCTCCAGAGGGAGTGCCAGGATAGGCTCCAAAGCTACACAGAGAAACCCTGTTTTGAAAAACCAAACAAAACCAAACAAAACAAAACAACAGAAACATTCATGTTAAGTATAATCTTTGTATCTATAACTGGTCACATGACCTTAGCTGGTATGTATAACTACCTTCCTCCACTACCCTTCTGTATTTCCTCTACCCTTGACAAACACCTCAGTAGGTCTTGGCTCTTTTCCTGGAGGAGTGACCCATACCTTCATTCCTGATGGGTCTGTGCTCTTTGTCATCCTGCCTGGATTAGGCTGTTGTAACTTCCCATTGACTTTGATCACAGGGCGCAGTAGCACCAAGAGACACCTTAAAAGATCTCCTCCACTCCAGACATAATCTTTCTTACCTCCATTGTGAAAAGTAATCCAATTTCCCCATGGTAATCTGGATCTATCACCCCTCCTGACACTGTTATTCCTTTCTTAGCCTGTTGGTTAAATGTCATCAGAAGTCCAAAGTTACCAAGGGGAAGTCTGAGCTTCCATTTCAATGGAATGCTTGTTGTGGCTCCTGGCAGGAGTGCTCACTCCTCTGGAACCAAAACTTTTAAGGCAGCAAAACTTAAGGTTTACAGGAACAGGAAGAAGTAAAGTTTTTCTAGTGGGTCACTGGGAGTGCCAGAGAGTGGAACTATTTCCCTTTCCACTCCTTGATTCCTGGACCCGTGGATCCTAGCTATGGGAGAAACAGTACCATATGTTGGATGCTGATGCAAAGCATATACTGCCTTTTAGTGAATCCTGCTCCACGCTGCTGCCACCAAATTGGCACTATGTCTTCAAAAGACAATCCCATCTTTCTATCAGACCAGCTGCTTCAGGAATGGTAGGGAACATGGTAAGCCCAGTGGATCCCATGATTGTGGGCCCAGTGTTACACTTCTATGGCTGTGAAATGTGTTTCTTGGTTAGAAGCAATACTGTATAGCATATCATGATGGTATATAAGACATTCTAGAAATTTTAGCAGAAGCATATGTGCATGAAAGGCAAATCCATAATCAGAATAAGAATCTACTCCAGTGAGGACAAGGGGTTGTCCTTTCCTTGGAGAAAGTGATCCAATATAGTCAACCTGCCACCAAGTTGTTGACCGGTCACCCTCAGGAATGGTGCCATATCTAAGGCTCATTATCGATGTAATACACAACGAGGCGTGGCTTACTGTCCCCTACACATTATTGGTCTCTGCTATTGGTAAATCCAGTACCCAGAAGGAGCTGTAGCCAGGTCGGCCTTGGTGAGGGGAAGTTTATGTTGTTGATCCTGTGCATAATCCCATCTCTGCCACCATGGCCCCTTTGTTCATGGTCCCAATGGGCAAGAACAGGAACTGCTGGGGAAAGAGACTGTCCACAGGGGTCTGGAGAGATGGCTCAGCGGTTAAGAGCACCGACTGCTCTTCCAGAGGTCCTGAGTTCAATTCCCAGCAACCACTTGGTGGCTCACAACCATCGGTTATAAGATCTGGTGCCCTCTTCTGGTGTGCAGATATACATGGAAGCAGAATGTTGTATACATAATAAATAAAAAAAAAAGAGAGACTGTCCACAGAATGGGCCATCCACTGTTGAGCTTCTCTACTGAAGTCACCTTTTGATGAGCATTTACTTGGGACATAAGTATCTTCACACCCTTCACTCATTTGGAGAGATCTATCCTCATGCTTCTTCTCAGATATCTTTCTTATTATCCACTCATGCT